CTTTTAAAAATATACATTTTTTTTATTAATAAATACATTTGTCAAGTGAGGATTTTGCAGATCTGGAAGTTTTCACTCTTAAGCATAATTTCCTGTTGTATGAGATGGTGATAGGAGAATATGGTATAAAAGTTTTGACCAGATGTGGAAGATTCCAGAGTACCCCCGGGATATTGTTTTCGCAATAAAAGTTCAACACCTGGCGTGAGCTTTTCTTGGCATTTTGGCACTTTCTCTTAAAATCTGAGGAAAGGAAGAGAAGTAGCCAACTGGTCAACCATTATTTGTAAAATGAGATTGTAATGTCCCTTTGCCTTTGTTCAGAACCATTGCCCCGGACCTCAAGGCCTTGATGATGGACACAGAACCAGCAGAGGAGCTTCTTGGTTGGTCCATCTAGGAATGAGAGTGCCCATCAGACAGAAAATATAAAATCTCTTGAGATTCACCTCAAAAAATTGTGGAATCTGATTCCCATTTTTTAGAAGAATAAGGTTCAGCCTATGAAGAGCTCCCTGGGGTCAGGAATGCTGTGTGAAATGACCAACCCTCTTTTCATCCACTGTCACCTCTCTATTCTGCTGCCAACTCCTCAGCCTGGAGCACTCCAACAGTCTCCAGTTGTCCTCCCTGCAGAGGGCTTGCCTCCTCCAAGCCACTCCACAGATGACAGTTCCAGTCATCTTTCTAAAACCGCTATCTGGTCCTATTCTTAAACTCAGCAAGGATGGACCTCACATTGTTTTAGATGACAAATCAAGCTCTTTCAGTAAAAAAAGTCAAATACAAGAAGCCACATAATGTGTGAATTTTTTTTTTACATGAAATACCCAGAAAAGGCAAAATGATGGAGACAGAAAGTAATGGTTGCCTCTGGTGGAAATGGTGAAGTGGAGACCAAGAGTAAGTGTGCTTAAAGAATCTAATAGGAGTAATGAAAATGTCCTAAAACTGATGTGTGGTGATGCGTGCACAACTTGGTAATTTAAAAATTGAATTATACATTTGGAGAGGGTGAAATATATATGAAAAATTAAAGAATATTCGAGCACCCTATTATACTAACCAGGTACTCCATGATATAGTTCCTAATGGCCTGGCTTGAGCCCCACCTCATCCCCTCCCTCACTCTGTATACCTGACACACTGGCCCTGGTTCAGGTCCTCCAAAGAGTCTCATTCTTCCTCTGGGCTCCCACTTGTACTTTCAAACACCTGCTGTGTTCTTCCTCCCTGCTGCCTGCCCCCAACTGGCTGATATCCATAAGAGCTCACTTTTCTCTGGGATGGATTCCTTTGTCCACCCGGATGAGCTCAGGACCCTGTCCTGTGCCCCCATAGTGCACCTGGACTTGTCTCTCATGCCACTCATTGCGTTTTTCTGTGATTATTTGTTTAATGAGTATCTTCTTTGCCAGTATACAAGCCCACATATAATTTGTCACAATGATATTCCAAGGCACACAGGAGGATTTTAGAAATATTAATTGTGTGGATAAATATAAGAATGAGGTGCAGAGGCCACAGGATCAGGCAGTTCTTCCAAGAGTACATAGATTGATTCAGAACCCAGCATTACTCAACTGAAGGCACATTTTAGTCTCTTCCAGGGATGATGTGAAGAATAGAAGAGGGATATGGGAGGGGATGGCATGGTGGGGAGCATGGTTGGGAGATTACAGGTGTGATGATGGGGGTGGGATGCGGGAACATGAGAGAAAAGCTTGGGATTCATGAGTTCTCATCTGGCTGTGTGATCCTGGATTAGAAACTTAAGCTCCCTGTTCTTCTTCTTTTAACCTATGAAAAGACTTTTATAATTTATACAGTCTCTGTTAGCTCAAATATTTTATAATTTCAGTCATTCTACTAACTAGGGCTTTTCAATATCAGAATCACCTGGGGTGTGTGTTACAAGCACAGACTCCTAAGCCCCACCCAGGCCTCTGGGTCAGTATCTCTGAATGTGGCTAGGGAATCTACATTTTAACATACTCTTGGGTGATTTTTTTTTTTTAATGCAAGTTTGTGAGAGGATGGGAACTGCATCTACCCCATTCACTCATATATCCCAAAACTCCACCCAATGCAGCACAGAGATAGGGTGCTCAATAAGTACTTCTTGATGGGATGGGTGAATAAGTAAATGGTATAGTCACAGAAATGTGGATATCTTGCTTTGATTGAGGCAGAAAGGGAAAAGGGCTTCCACTTTGGGAATGAATTCTCCATTTATAAAATATGGCGGTTGGACTAAGTGACTCACATGACTTCTCCCTGCCTTAGTAATCCACAGGACCATTTGTCTATAATATTGACAGCACCATGGATTGATGCTTTGTTTCCCTTTGCTTTCCTCCTTGACAGGTGAGAAAGCATCAAGGTGAAAATCAACCACAACTCAAAGATTGATTGTGAGTTTTAATAAGAGGGGTGGAGTCAAACAGTTTAGAGGAACGTATAAAAAGGCCTTTTACTTTTTGCTGGAACATGATATGGTTTGTGCATAGCACATACATATTAAAAAATAAAAGCATCACATTTTACAAGCACATGACTGAACAAATTCTGAGTTTTTCTACTTACTTGACCCAAACTTGGGGACAGCTCTGTACTGGGACCCAGCCTGAGGTACTTACTGATTTATAGAAAGTGGAAACCACATGAGGACACAGCTGTCTGAGTGCTGGAATTTCAGTAGTTCAATGAGGTATACAAACATGGTTCTGTGTTGGCTTTTGGCATGATGGACTAGATTCAGGATCTGTTTTGGGTATAATCACTCCCTCCTCCCATTCTGGGAAGAGGAAGCATCAACTCAGATGGAAGCACAGAACTATACCTACTCTTCTGGTCTGTCCCAAGCATTCTGGGAGGTAGCAGAACGAGTGGACATTCCTGGCCCAGTGGAGAGGGGGTGCAGATTTGAGAGACCCACTTCCTAGACAGGAAAGGGGCAAGCCACAGAGAATCTCTCCTCAGTGACATTTGACCCAGAGCCTTTGGGGACAGAAAGTTATAGGAGCTTTCTAGCTTCTGTACATGTGAAAAGCAGCAGAAGGGGATAGACAGGAGAGAGAATATCGCTGTGTCTTAGGGGCCAGTGACCGCTTTTCATAGATACGTTTGCACCAGTGACCATGGCACAAAATGGGCAAGGGCAGTGGACCTACAATGCTGGGAGGAAGGAGAACTACAGCATGTGGACTTTTATACATTCTTCTCCTTTAGGATTCTACAGAATGATAACTTGGAGGCTCTGACATCTAGGACGAGAAAGGGGCCCAGCACCATTATGAGAAGAATTCCAAGCTTCTCAGTATAGGACTAGGTCAGGAGAGAATTTCAGGCCTGGGTTTCTGGCCTGGGAAAATCCTATTATGTCTAAAAAGGAGAGAGGTTTGTAGCCTGGATCAGAGAACAGGAGAAATATTCTCTTTCCTGGGCCATAGAATGGCCCTGGCCAGGGGCTTGGAGTACATGTGCTAGACATGTTGGGACCTGGCGGCAGATGGGGAAGGCTGTGAAGGATAGTGGTGGGGTATTAATTACAATATTATATACCTTCCAAAGGAGGTTCGAAAATGCATGGCAAGTATGAAGGGAAGGGATGTTAGAAGGCAGCAAATGAGGGAGGGAACATAATCAATAGCTTCAATGAGATAGTTGAGGTTTTCTGGTTTCCTCTGAGGTGCACACATTGTCTTGAGGAGAGTGCAGATTCTACAGGAGGTCTGGAGCTCCCCTCTGGTTTCTGAGCTCACCTCTCCCCAGCTGAGGAGTTCACCTCCAAGTATGTGATTATATCTTGCTCTCATTGTTATCGTTTGCTCTTGAAGGAACAAGGCAGCATTTGGCACCCCAAGTTTGCATGGAGCTGCCAGAGAAGGTATAGGATAGGAGGGAAGCCAATGACTACAGAACTCTATAAACCAGGATCATAGCTCAGGATGTGGGGGAGAGAGGACCCAAGTCATTCGTAGTACACGGCAGCAGGAACGTGAGGATCCTTGTGTTCCGCTGCCCATGCAAAGTCTGCTGCAGCCTTTTGGATCCAACAGGGCTGAGAGCTCAGTCCTGGACTCAGTAGACATGGTGATCAGACAGGAGACAATTTTGCACACCTGTGCACAAACACAGGAGCAGGAGAGAAGGGACTGAACAGCCCTTTGCTGATCCTCCTCCGTTCCTGCCTCTTAACCCACTTTTGTGGATGGAGAGAGACTTGTCGTAAGCCTAAGCCACTTACAGGTAAAGAGAAAGCTCTTGGGAGAGCACTCCTCTGGACTGGAGGCATTTAAAGAGTTAACAATGCATCACCACATCCAGGAATATGTTCAGAAGTTTCAACAAATGATACAGCATAGGCCCTGGTACCAGTTAGAATAGATGCCCTGCTGCTAGGAACCGATTCCAGGCATAGGCAATGGGTGTGCTGGTGCTGCTGCATAGTGACTGCATAGCAAGCCTTCCTGGTCCTAGGCATGTCATTGCTTCTCCTTCTCACTCTTAGCATGAAAGTTAGGAGTGAACATTTGGGGGAGCTCCTTGTCAGTGTTTGAGCACTTTTATGAGCCTCTAGAGAGATGCAGGAATCTGAGGCCTTGAGACTCTCTTTAGAAATGTATCCCCTCCCATGCCAAGTTGGCTTAGAGATTTAGGAAGAAAGGAACTAGAGCTTTGGGACCTAAAACTTTTCTCTCCACCAGATCACTGTCTGTCCATCCTCCCAGCCTGCCTGCACTCCCGGCACGTTCTATCGGATCTGATGCATGCCTCAGGTTCTGAGTGAGTCAGTTTCTCATATACCCTGTCAAAGAGATCAGTAAATTACTCTAGACAAGATAATCAGCTTTGTCCTCTGCCTCCAAGCAGAGCTGCACTTCAAATATTCCAAATGGTCAAGATGGACCAACTTTTTCCCCCTTCCACTTGAACAAAGACCCCAACTCCTTCCAGTTTCTTCCAAGGCTTGGTCATGTCCAGTCATGCTCCTGAGCTCTTATTGCCTGTTGAATCTTTGCTCACCTTGGTGTGGCCTTTTCCTCCTCATCCAGCATATGTCCTTCCTGATGTGTGCTGGACAGAGAGATAGCCAGTATGATGTCTCCGTTGGGTGGCCAACTTCCATGTCCAGTTCACAGTCGCTCAGCTCAGGTCTATCTATAGATGGCCTCATCTGCAAATAGAGAGGTATGTCGAAGATGAAGGTATTTGCAGCAGATGAGGGGCTGTCTTGCAGGCAGGGGCCCCTGAGAGTAGCAAAGGGTGTCAGGTCATTTTGTAACACGATGGTTCACGTATAATGCCGAAAATATTTGCACTCTGATATGGCTCTCTCTGGTTTCAGATTTAGGAACATTCCAATGGTTCAGGAATCTGAAGGCTCCAGGCAGACAACATTTATAGTCACTTGGGGGAACCTCTGCTTTAAATACTCTCAAAGGACAGGAGGCAAGACGGCATTGTAGAGCAAGGAGCTGTTATAGCTTGGCTGCTTGATTTCACGGGATTATCACTCTTCTCTTACTGTAGGGGGGCCAGAGGGGGCAAACTCTGGAGGTCATGGTGCCCATTCTACTGCATCCAGGCACCAGTGTGTATGCAAGATGAGGACGACCAAGAAGGAAGTGAGAGTATCAGATGAGGACTTGGGTGAGTTTCCCGGACGTAGCTGGAGAGGAATTATCATCTGCGGTCCAAAGCCTCTCTACTTCCTTCATGCCCTACTTTGCACCCCCTCACCTCTCGCCAAAGAAGTTGCCATTATTAGGATCCTTGTCATCTGAGGTTAAAATAAGACCTAGTTCAAAAGGAGGAAAAGTTATGGGCAGGGAGCCAGGCCCCAGCTTGTTCTTGGAGCCACAGGCGGCACTGAATCCTCCAGGCAGAATGGCACTTCATAGAACATCCAGTCCCTTCCGCTGCTTCCAGCAGGCCTTCCCCAACTGCCTGAGGCACTGCTCTACCCCATTTCTTCAAGAAGAGGATCCCTTCTTTCCCAGCTCCCCTGTCAGGGCAGCCCAGTGTCCCCAGAGCTCTCACAGGCAGGAAGTTTGGAGCCTGCCCACTTTCTTTCTGGTTTGCAGATAAACCATACTCCCTTCCACTCTGCCCTCTATGCTTAGGGGACAGCTGCTCCCCACTGCCTGTGCATCCCATGCATGCACTCAAGTGGCCTCTGGATGGAAAGATGATTGGAAAGAGGCAGAACAGGAGTACATATCAATCCAGCTGGATTGACAAGTGACATTCTTGCAGGCAGATTCCTGCTGCCATGATACTGGGGGAGAGAAACCTGATGCTCTGTAATGCCTTTGCTCAGACCACCTACACAAAGATGTATGGATATACCTCAACACACACACACACACACACACACACTGCCACCCTGGCATTTCCCTGTGCACATGGTCATATGCCACATGTACCTTCTTTCCTCAGTTGAGGTCAGAGCAAGTATCCATTGCCATTCTAGGATAGTGGTTGCAACCGTTCACTTGGATTGGTTACATACCATAGGGTCCGGTGTGCCTTCTCCCCAAGCACAGGAGAAGCCCAACTCAGGAGTCATGGCGGGGATGGGGTGGCGGTAAGGGGAATTGTTCATTTGTGCAAAATTCCAATACAAAAGATGTTGTTTTCAATCTGCAAGCCTCCTTTCAGGGTCCTTATATCCTGGGAAGGAAGTGAGTGACAGTCATGATTGGGGACACCTTGCTGCCCCGCTTTACCCGTCCATATTTGCTCAGTGCGATGTAGGTCCCTCTGTACAGGTCTGACTCATAGGCATTGTAATTGTTGGGCAGGAGGGTTTCTCTGAACTTGCATTCCTCTTGGAAGCTGGGCTGCCAAAGAAATGGGCAAACAGAGGCTCAATTATAAATGAGGTGTAGCAGGCCCCCTCCTGGATGCGCCTCCCCTCCCCTTTGTAAGACAACCAACAGGGAATCTGAGCCATCCTAGGTGAATGGAAACATGGAAGATCAGAAAGGAAGAGACTTCTGAACTCTGTTGGACCTCTCTCACGTTCCCTCCATTAGGATGAGAAAATCAAGGTCCAGGGACAGATAGATTGTTTGTGTAATATGGAGTGGGTTTCTTGACTTTTAGTTCAGGGCTCTCTCCTCTAAGCACCTAGCTGATAATTTATTCCATTCAGAGAAAGGACCAGAGAAGGATGCAATAGGCTGTTTTCTCAAGTCCACTGAGAGAGGTTGTCTAATGGAGTAGGTTGGGGGCCTGGGTTCCACTCTGTGGCTTCTCTGCTTCCTGGTTGTATGACGTTGGGCAGGCTCTTCCCTCTCAGCCTTTGTTCCCTTTTCTGCAAGCTGTGGGCTGGGTTGTTGGTGAGGTGTGGTTAGCAGAGGTTGGGAGACAGATGACTCCCCATGTCCTTTCCAACGCTATCTGTTGACTATGTTAACCCTTTCTTCTTTCCACTGATTTCCCCTCACTCTGTCTTTCCCAGTTGATGCCCCAGGTTTGCAAACCCTTAAAGAGGTTCATTCCTGGTTTTGACTTTGAGCCCAAAAGATGCCTGATGCCTTCTAGACATTCAGAGCTCTCCAGGGAAGTTTGGGAACAGAAATGATAAGGAGCAGCCATTTTTATGAGGAAGAGAACCTGGTTCCCTTTGTGGCAGGTGGTGCCGTGGAGTCTGGGGCTAGTGATAAATCAGCCTCTGCAGTGCTAATTTGGTAGAGAAGCGCGTGTGGACCATCTGTTCAGAAAATGAATGCTGAACTTCCTGTCACACATCAACAAGTTCATTCCTGCTATATCACCCACGTCCTCCTTTATTCCTAGAAAAGAGGGCCCTTCCTCCCTCAGCCTGCAGGGCCACTGCTGAGGGAAGCTGGGGAGGTTTCTGTGCTTAGGACAGGGAATGGTTCTGTGGGGTCTAGAGGAAGAGGGATCAAGGTGAAAACCAGGAGATAGGGGATCCAGCCTCAAAAGAAATACAGAATGAAACAAAAAGAGAGAGGTGGGATGTGCTTTCTGACTCCTTCCTGCTGACTGAGGCCATCAGCTATAAAAAGCCCACTCAATGGCTGGATGGTTGTGCCAGAGGTGTCGTCTGACCATCTCTGAAGGAATCGTTCTCTGAGCACCCTGGGCTGGTTGAAGGCGGAGGAAGGACCAGAGCCTCTTCCTGTTATGAGCAGAGGGTGATGAGCTAGCTCACTGGGCCCCCAGATTCTTACAGCTCTTTGGGTGTACTGCTCAGACAGCATGGACAAGAGTATGTGATTCCCCAGGGCCAGCATCTTCTTTCCCAATAGATTCCAAGTTGCCCAAGACAAGGATTGTGTCTTGTCAGGTACGTGATGCTGAATGGATGATTATTTCACAGAGGCAGCAGAGGGACAGGTGGATACTCCCTACATGATTGGCTCTTCAGGACAGCATGAGAGTGAGAAAGGGGGCAGTGCAGTGTGAGGGGGAAACAGCATACTCCCTTCCTTTTGCCCCCTCCTCCTTTCCCCACTCAAGCCCCCCAATGTTTATTGTTTACAAGGCACTTCCGCATGTGTTAATTTAGCTGAGATGAATGTGAAAGCTTTAGACTGGCATGCCAGCTGGCTTCCCAGTACCACACTAGGGAGCTTGGGTTTTCACAAGCTACCTTTGTTATGAATGCTCAGTAAGCATTTGTGGAAGGAATATGCCAAAGGTAGAGGGAATAAACTAATCAAAGTAGGTATGGAGCATATTTGTGCACTAGCTGTGAGGTTACACTGATGATTATTCACCTCTTACTTAGTAGCTATATGAACCTGGGCAAGTGATTTAACCTCCCTCATCTCGAGTTAACCTCCATTCCCTTATCTGTAAAATGGGGCAGTAAGAATTTTGATGTCATAGAATTGGAGTTAGCATTAATTGAAATAATGTACAGAAAATTATTGGTATAGGGATACCTGGCTAGCTCTGTGGTTGATCATCTGCCTTCAGCTCAGGTCATGATCCCGGGGTCCTGGAATGGAGTCCTACATCAGTCTCCCTGCGGGGAGCCTGATTCTCCTTCTGTCTATGTCTCTACCTCTCTCTGTGTGTCTCTCATGAATAGATAAATAAGACATTAAAAAAAAGAAAGTCATTGGTATAACACTTGGCACATAGTAAAGTAAAAAATATTGTTATTACTATAATTCTTCTCTATCATGAACTAATTTGCATTAAAAGCCCTAAAAAACTTTGTCTTACCCCGAATCACCATTCCTGCAAAACCTGCTATGGGTTATTGGACATTTTTGCTTTTAAGCTCTGCAGTTATTGACTGAATGACTCAGAGACCATGAACTTGTATGAGAAGACCACAGAATTAGGATATACAGAAGCTGCACTGCTCTTCGGAGCCTCTCTGGACCGTGGTTTCTTTACCTGTGCATGGGGTGTAGAGTAAGCCACAGAAGCTAAGATTGTTGATGATCAAAGCTCTGGAGCAACATCACTAGGAGCAAGGCACTCAGGATTGATTGCAAATTACTAAGGAATAAAACTACACTGATTAAAAGTCTGGTGCAGGGGTGACTGGGTGGCTCAGTCGGTTAAGCTTTGCACTCTTGATTTTAGTTCAGGTCATGATGTCAGGGTCCTGGGACTGAGCTCCACATGGGGCTCTGTGCTGACCATGGAGCCTGCTTGGGATATTCTCTCTTTCCTCCCTCTGTCACCACCACCCCCACTCTTACCCCAGCCCCTCTGTGCACACTTGCATGTGCATGTGCGCGCTCACTCACTCTCTCTCTCTCAAAAAAAAAAAAAAAAAGAATCTGGTGCAGATTGATGAACAAAATATAGACTCCAGAAATTGATCCAAATATAGCAATATAAAATAAAAATGGACCTGAAATTCATATAAAATAAAAGTAGCATTTCAAATCACTGGAGAGAACATGGTGTTAGAACAACTGGATAACATCTAATAATAATAATAATAAAAATAATAATAGTAATAAAGTTTGATTTCTTATTTCACTCCTTATATTAAAGAAAATTCTATAAGTAGCAAAGGTTTTATTTATTTATTTATTTATTTATTTATAAGATTTTGTTTATTTATTTGACAGATAGAACATATGTAGGGGGAACAGCAGAGGGAGAGGAAGAAGCAGGTGCCCCACCCAGCAGGGACCCTGATGTGGGGCTTGTTCCCAGGACTCTGGGATCATGACCTGAGCCAAAGGTAGAAGCTTAACTGACTGAGCCACCCAGGGGCCCTTATAAGTAGCAAAGATCTAAATGCAAAAAAGAGAACCTTAAGAGTCCAGAAAAAAATTTGATTTAAGTAATCTTGAGTCAGGAAGCCCTTTTTGATGAGGACACAAAAAACTATATACCATAAAAAAGTGAAACCAAATAAATTTGAGTCTGGTAAAAGTTGCCTTAAGCAAAACAAAAATATAAATAGCAAATTCAGTTAAAAAATAGTTGCAGTACTGGGGCACCTGGGTGGCTCAGTTGGTTGAGTGTCCAGCTCTTGATCTCAGGGTCATGAGTGCAAGCCCCATGTTGGGCTCCATGCTGGGTGTGGAGCCTACTTAAAAAACAAACAAACGAACAAATAAATAAGTAAAATAAAAAATAGTTGCAATGTATATGTGTTGGAGAGTATATTTTGTTACCATACCTTAACTGAGAAATGGACTGTTTATGAATAGACCATTCACAGAAAAGAAAATACAATTAACATTTGAACATAAGAAAATATACCTAATAAGAGAAATCTAAGTCATAATGATGAGGTAACATTTTTAATTGTTTAAGAGAAATCAGATGTTTGAAAATATTCTTTTTTTCTTCCTTCCTTCCTTTCTCTCTCTCTTTTTTTCTTTTTTAGAGAGAGAGAAAGAAGGTGTGAGCAGGGTGAAGGGGGGCAGAGAGAGAGAGAGAGAGAGAGAGAATGCCAAGCAGTCTCTGCACTGAGCACAGAGCCTCACTCAGGGCTCCATCTCATGACCCTGAGATCATGACCCAAGCCGAACTCAGTAGTCTTGACACTTAACCCATTGAACCACCCAGGTGCCCCTTGATAATACTCTTTCATTGGTGAGGGCATGAAGACTAGGAATTCTCATGTAACATCTGTGGGTGCAAATATTGTTATAACCTCTATAAAGAGCAATTTGCCAGTATCTAATAGAATAAAAAAGGAATATAACTTTGACTAATAATTCTGCTTCCAGGAAGTTATCTTACCGTCAAGCTCCTACACATGTACAAGAGTTACTCCCTGCAACATTATTTATAATAGTAAAAGACCAAAAACAACAAAGCATCTATTAGGAGGGAAGTAGTTCATTCCATTCTGGCAAATCCACACAATTGAATACTCATGAAAAAATATGTAACCGCTCTGCGCACTGACTTGAAGTGGTCTCAAAGACATACCATTAAGTGAAGAGGCAAGGTTCAAAACAGTGTGTAGTATGCTCTCATATGTGTGACTTTATAAAATAACAGTGAGGGAACACCCCCAGGGGCACAGGTTCTTCTTGGAGCAGCACATAAGGAGCTGGTCCAGTGTCTTTCTCTGGGGAGGTACTAAAGGCTTCAAGATGGCAGTGTGAAGGGGGACCAGATTTCCATGGCATATTCTTTTGCACTGCCCACCCCCCTCCCCATGTTCATGTATTATCTAGTCATGTGAGTAGATTATTGAAAGGAATTCAGGATACGAGATGGGCCAGGAAAGGAAGTGAGAAAACATTTGTATCCAAAACCAGTGGTCCCCCCTTCTCCTGTTCAGGCCCTGCCACCCACCACTTGCCCCTCTGTTCTAACTTATACATCCCTGGAGAGTAACCCAGCGTCAGCATCCAGGAGGATGCCCTTCTGAGGT